ACGCTAAACATATAATCATGACGTCTAACAGTTTAAAGAAAAAATAATAAGATATTAACGTCTTTATTGTATACAGTAACTAAATTGTTAAATATTTGAAAGAAAACCTACTTTTCAAGAATAATTTCCCATGTATCAGGATTAATCCTAACAGGTGTCTCTCGAACTCGGTCATCAAACATTACGTGATATCCTCGTTCTGAAAGAACGTCCATGATCATGTCAACAAGATGCTGGTTTTCAAGTTGATGGGAAGTTCTAAAATGTATATATACATTTTTAATATAATGAATGTATTAAGATACAAGATGGCATATATATTTATGTTCATACGTTCGAATAAGAGCCTGTCCGCTGATAGCATGACGTTGAACCATTGGGATAACATTACTGTCCACAAACTCGATTGCTTTCATAAAAAGTCCTGGCTCAGTATCTTGATAATGCTCAAGTCGACTAATTAAATCTTGTCGAGCATGAATACCGATTTTTGTTGCGAGTGGGATATGTGCGATTGAATCGTAGGTCTTTTGATCTAAAATGAAATAATGTTTACTAAATATTAATAGAGGAAAGCATAGATAAAAATATGAATTAGTGAAAATGCAACATACCAAGTTCGAGAGAACTTTGATACTCAAATTCTTTTAGAATCAATTTCATAACCTCTTCAATCGATCCAACAGCATTGATTAGATCTGTGAATAGATTTTAATAATGCATGAATAAATTCAAGTGTCTGAAATATTAACTATAAAACCTTTATTTTATTATTATTTATTATTTTACTTACGGAAAGGGAAAAGTTTTCCAAGCTTCATCAAAGCTCCAAAATGTTCTTTGAATATTTGATAACGTGCTCTAATCAACTATAATGATATATAATAATGATTATTATAACTTATGATGACTTACGATGGCTAGATATACAAACACATTATAAATAACAAATACACCCTCAACTCAATACGAACCAATTCATCATAATCTGTAACTCGTTCTTCCATTAATTCACCCTGTCCCGTTCGTCGAACTATTTCATTATGCTCTCTGATTTGTCGCCCTCGTTGCAATTGGCGAACGACAGAAACTTCTTCGTCAACATATAATACACAGATACGAAACGTTGGACGACTATATGTAATTATCCACTTCGAAAATCATTATTCTGAACTTATTAAATAGTTTTTATTAATTTACACTTACGGGAATTTATCTTGCAATAGTGTTCCACAGAATTCTCGACGCAATTCATGCATCTTGTCATAAAGAAGTTTCAGACATTCCACCTGAATATCTGTACGAGGGAATCCATCCACAAGGCAACCCACTGTCGGATCACAATTAAGTAGTGCACGTAACAAATTCTCAAGAACTTTTCCATCACCTATTAATATAATTGTTTAATTAAATATCATAACTATTAAAATGTATTTAATTCTTAGTTTAAAGAAAAAAAACACGTACTAATCATTTTGCCCTTATTTATTAACTCTTGACAATCTGGTGTATTTAAAAGAGCTGACATGCAGATGGCAGGATTGGTAATGCCACGCGCTTTTAAAATCAGATCTGTATGCGTCCCTTTACCGCTACCAGGTGCACCCATTAACCAAATAATCTCTCTTGGAAGACTACATTCGTATTATAATTTCATGAATACATTAATTACTGTTAATAATTAAATTATATGCTTATATGCGCGTAATCTCGGTCTTACCAAAGATTTTCTCGACCAAATTCGTCTTCAATATTTTTCCAAGCCTGATTAAATATG